ATTTTGCTTTAGAAAAAGTTCTAGTAAAATTCATATCAAAATACAACTTAACTTTATCAATTTTATATTTTAAATCTTCTATTTTTTCAATTTCAAAATATTGTCCAACTCATGATTTTAATTAATTCAGTAATTCAATTTCAACCTATCAAATTTTGGACAAACTTTAGAAGTTGTTGTCAAATGTTTTTTTCTTCTAGACTTAAAACGTAAGGATAGTACTTGTGCATTTTTAATCAAGACAAAATGTCAAAACATATAAAGCAACTTTTCTTATCTCTTTATCAAAATATATCCTATAGTTTCATTGGAGGATTGAGAAAGATGATAAAAAGTAACAAGAATCGAAATCACACTTAATATGAGTTTTGATGTTTAGTTGAACTTTTATTTATAAATTTTACTATACTTTTAGTAAGTTTTGTTTATGGATAAGTGTCTTTTACGAATGATTTAAATCTAATAGAAATTGATTGACGCAAATAGAATATGTAGTTAGTTTTTATCGACTTGATCACTTTAATTTATAAGTCTTTCATTCTGATCTTTCTTATCCATTACTTTATTCCAAAAAAATAAATGTAAAATAATGTTACTTTAGATAATGAAATGACTATTACCATTAACAACCAAAAGCTTAACCGTCTGAATCATTTTTATTCTTTAAGTTTAGGCCGCAATTATTTTAATTAAAATTCAGATATTTGAATGGTGGATACTAAAATGTGTATTAAGTAAAATTTGATTATCTGAAACTGAATACACATCTGAATATAAAGATGTATCATCAAATTATGAATATTAAATAATAAGATTGTTTGTATTCTAAACATCTGAATAAATAAAATTTATTTTTGAATAAAACTTATTATATATAAAATACTAAATTGATATAATATTATATATAAAAAAAATTAAAATATTACATGACAACTACTGGTGGTGATGACTAATGATGGTAGTTGTATGTCTTGATTTGGGATGATGTTGGCTGATAATATGGTGTTTGTGTGTAATATTTTATCGTATAGTAGTTGATAGTAGTGATTAATCATGATTATTGGTGGTTGCGGCTGATAATTAATAGTGGAATGACACTGATAGATAATAACGATGGTGAGTGATGATGGCAGTTAGCGATATATAATGTTGAATAAGATGATAATTATCTATAGTGATTAGTGGATGAAATAATGGTTAGTGATGATGATTGCAAATGATGGCTAATGGTGAAAGTCAGTATAGCTGGGGGGAAAAAGTTATCTTACTCTTACCTAAATAAATGACGAAGTTAAGGTGACTGCAATGAGCATAAATTGTCACGCCCCGAGCCTACACCCTGGACGTGGTCGACACTCAAGAACCATTGCTAGCCCCAAGCAAACCATTGGCCTGGCTTACTTACTCAGAGGAAGACTTTAAGCATTAAGAAAAGGATTCATATGCTAAATAATAGAGCTGTCTCAAACTGAACTCATAATGTTTTAAAAATAAACATTTAACTTAGCTAAAAGGCAACTCAAATATGAACATAAGCCAATAACAAAATGATGATGAATGAACTAGCATCTGACTGACTATCTATGAAGCCTCTAAAACAACTGAGATGGATGTCGGAACAGGCCCACGACATCCTAATGAACTAAAATGATAAAGTAATGAAAAAGGGGGATCCTCTGGAATGCAATGAGGCTCACCAACAACTCTGAAGCTCAACTGGATCAACGATGCGCTGGATGTTAATCCTGGTTACCAGCGTCTGCATCATAAGACGATGCAGGCCAACTGGCATCAGTACACTGAATGTACGAGTATGCGAGTTGGAATGCTAAACACAACTTAAGCTTGAAAAGAATCTGGGAGGAACTGAAGAACTTACCTGGCTCAACTTAACTCAACATAACTGAACTCATTTTAATATAAAACACTTTAAAACCAAGTGCAATATAAGGAAAAGTTGTTTAAAACATGATGTCAACTCTGTGTATTTAGAAATACAATAATAACTCTGTATGTATGCAAAGATACAATATGAACTTTGTTTGTATATAAAAATATAAAATATTGTTGTGGGAGTTTCTCTAACCGACAACCATCACTTAAGAGCTATAGTGATGATACAACGTTTTACCTCACACTGCCAAGGGCCGTCTTATACCTTGCCGAGGGTATAGAACCTAACTCACTAAGTGGATCCACTAGTCTATGCTAAAAATCACTAAGGGTTCATCTAAAAAGTATGACTATTTTCTATCCATGATGGCTACATGGTTTATGGAGGCTGTGGGTTCTCTGAATGCTCCCCCATATCGGTGCTCAATACTACTCCCAAAATATGATACTAGCTCCTTATGTTTAAAAATATAACTTCCTGCTGTGGTTTGAGATAATTGCTCAAAACTTAGCTCAAAGGTTATCTTGGAAATCAAAGTTTCCTCTCTTGCTTCATTTAGAAAGCGATTACTCTTTTCTGAAAACTAGCCCGAAGGCTCTTTGGAAATTAAGATTTCCTTTCTTGTTTAAATGTGAAAACATTTTAAACCCTTTGGGAATACATTGTCCCCATATATTTTTGAAGAAATGGACTTCAAACTTTACTCTTTACTCTTTACTCAACTCGAACTTTAATTCTTAAAACAAAGTTAAAACATTTAAAAGAGACTTTTGGAAAAGTCTAAGAACTTCTCTTGACCTTGATCTTCACTGTTTTTGACTTGACTCTTAACTGGTCCTTGAATTGAATTATGAATTCAAGGATTGTGATTTGTGATTGGAAAGATCTTATGATGTTTAGAAATGATTTTAGACGGCTAAACATGAGAAAAGACCAAAAATCAATATTTAAGGGTGGGTCCGCGACGCAGAGGGATATTTAATTTTTGGTTTCGAAAATAACTTTTGAGGAAGAACGGTCCGTGACCGCTCCGCTCCGCGAAATGATTTTTCTCAGTTTTGGGGAGTGGGTCCGCGACGCGGAGGCATGTCCAAATTTCGACCGACTAAATTTCTTCGTTTTCCAGCTCTAAACCCTCTAAACTCCATGGGTTCTTTCCCAAACACTTAAAATTGATGTTCATAGTACATCAGATTCTACTCAAAATCAAACCTAAAATCATGAATTCGGATCAAACAACTCCTCAACGATTTCAACAAATCAATAATTTAATAGAACTTCAACAAACCCATCAAGAACTCAATTTCTAAGCTTTCAAGAACTTAAATTTGCTAAAATAAATAATGATTGGCACATGGGTGAACTAACCCAATGCTATGTGATCTCACATACCTTATAGGGATCACCCCCGACGAAATCCACAAGCTAATCTTGACGAATCTTGAACGTTCTTCTCCTTTCTCCTCTTTTCTCCTTTCTCCAAGCCCTAGCATGAAAATCATTTTTCTAAAACTGACTAAAATTTGACTTTACCCTAATTAAACTTCTAAAACGAACTAATTAAGTTGGATAAGAAAAAGACCAAACTACCCTTTCAAAATCCGGATTTGGACTTTCCTATTTCCAACAGCCCAACTTCCAAAGGGAATAACTCACTCATACAAACTCGGAATCGCGCAAACTCAGCAGCGTTGAAAAGATCATTCCATGATCTTTCTTACCATATCTGGAAGTACCTCTAACTCATCCTGAGCTAGAAGTTATGGCAGTTTGAAGTTGGCCAAAACTCAAATTTTCCTAACTTGAACAAATTTCCAGATTTTCATTATTTCCAAAAATGACTATTTCCAGTTCTTAGCTTCTTCCTAGCTATTTCAAATTGCGAGATATTACATAAATCTCACTCATGAACTTAAACAATGAACAAACACTCTCAATGAATAGATGAGCTTAAAGGGATATGAAGGCTAGAACCATGTTTTCAAAGACCTAAGTCAACCGCGAGCCCAAACCTCCCTACTTTATCTTCACTTCATCCTGATAAACTTGTTGGACTATCGATCATTTTTTCCTTTTTAATTAGATGAATTATATCATTCAAGAGCTTCTTTAGTCCTTTTGATTAGTTGCTTCACAAAAAATTGTAGGTGTGGCAAGGTAACAGTCATGGTTTAAGTGGATTGAGTACATGATGTTTTTCCAATCTTATTTCAACAATTCAGTCCGCTAGTGATATTGTCTATTTTGGATCTAAGTTCGCACGACCTTAAAACACGTCACTAGTATGTAAGGTCAACTTACTTATATATACAATATCTCTCATCTGTTTTGTTAATGTAGGACTTCTTATCCTAAATTGGAGTGTCACAAATACCAATTCTTATGGATTTAGCGTCCTCGTTGAGATTTGTCCTACCACATTGAGTTTGTCTAAACTCAACACTGAGATTTGCCCCATCCTATTGAGATTGTCTAAACTTAGTTGAACTTTGTCTCACATATCACATCGAGAGTGACTCTATACCATCTGTAACAATCCAATCCGCTAATGATATTATCCATTTTGCCTAGGTTGTACAACATTAAAACGTGTCACTGATGTGTAATAAAAATATATTTTCTCTAATAGTTTAAGTTTTTAGATGAGTAGATCACACACTTCAAACATAATGACTTTTGATAGAGAATCCATTTTCATAACTTTTCTAATCCACCTTTCTACAACATTCTTATCCATGATAGTAAAAAAAATTAAAACAGAAATAGATATTAAGGCAAATCTTTATTTTCTCTTTAGTATTAGGCCAAATCTATTTGAGAAAAAAATTGGGAAAGTAGTTGCTGACATGGACAAATAAGAAAGGGAGAAAATAGTACCAAAAGCACTTGCCTTTTTACTTTTGGTTTTGGGTACAGAATCAAAAAAACAGCAAACAAACCACGCAGACCTAAAAAGAACAAAACCAACTCTCCCCTCCCTCAAACCAAATGTATCAAGATTTCTCTATTGCCACATACAAATTTGTGGCTACAAATCCCTCTACCTTTAGTGACGTGTCCACCCCACCCCCCACCTCTAAAACCCTTTTTCTTCTTCATCTATAGTCCTCATAGTCCAAAACTTATAAGACACCAAACATCAAAGAAACAAAACAAGAAGATAAAAATTTGTTCCCATCTTACCCTTTTTCAAGTAACACAAACTACTTTGATTTCTTTCCCCCCTTTTGTGTTGTAACAAAAAAGAAGGAAAATCAAGAATTGAGAAGAAGTGTCAAGAAAATGTCTGAAGTTAGAGATCCTGCTATTAAACTGTTTGGTAAAACAATTGGTATGACACAACAAGAAACCAATTGTGTTTATCTTCATGATGATCATACAACCTCATCCCCTCTTTCAATTGATGATGATAAGGTAAATCTTTTTACCAAATTGTTTATAAATATATCATGAGTTAATAAAAATGGAATTTGGGTCACCAATTTTAGTTATAAAGTTTGAAACGTTATCTTTGATATATCTATTTGACCATAAAATTTGATCAAACTTTTAAAAATATGATCTTTTTAGGACTTGTCTCATTTTTTTTCAAATAAAAGTTCAAATTTTCCAGTTTCAACTTCAAAATCTACGACTAGACGGAGTTTTAGTATTTGGGTGAGTTTTGTTTTATGAAAAGATTGGATCTTTCTTGATACCATAGCTTAAAATGGAAATGTAAAGAAAACCAGTTTTAGGAAAGACCCTGTTTTGGGAATTGTTTTCTCATTATTTTTCTGTATTTGAATTTGGAAATTTACTGTTTTGGGATTATATTTTATTTTATTTTTTCAATTTAGATACCATAGAACTCTGATGTTTGATCTGGTGATGTTAATCAACATTTAAAATATATATATATATGATCTTACTTTCCAAGATATTTTTTTTATATGTTTTTGGAGTTAAGTAAGTTAAAGTTGTGTAATTTGGAAAGCACAAGGATTATATGCCCTGAAATATTCAGATCCTGAGGGTGTAGCGGAAACAGTCTCTCTATCCTAAAAAGATAGGCTAACGTCTACGTACATCCTACACTCTTCAGATCCTATTTGTGGGATTACACCGGGTATGTTGTTGTTATTGTAGTTGTATATATTCAGATCCTCTGCCTTGTAAAACTTTTGTATTTATGGTGATCATATTGTTATGTTTTTTATCAAGTGGAATTGTTAACAACTGCTAGGAGTGGAGATTTAGGCGTAACTGCCCGGATCGTTTGCCTTGTTCAATTGCTTATGCTAAAATGATGAGATCGTCGTCTTTTCAGTGACGAATAGTTTTGATTTGTTGTGAGAGAGCTCAAACTGACCTGTTTTTTCTTGTCAATTGATCAGATCACTTTAGAAGGAGAATTTACACAAAGCAAACAAGATGATGAACTTGTCGATCCAACTGCAGACTCGTCGATTGAACCAGAAACATCATCTGGTATAAGCGATGACATCAAGATGCAGGATGCAGATAAAGAAACATTATCATCAAAATCTATCGAGGAGGAGGATTCGAGTGAGGAAAAGGCACTCAAGAAGCCTGATAAATTGATTCCATGTCCGCGATGTAATAGCATGGAAACAAAGTTCTGTTATTACAACAATTACAACGTCAACCAGCCTCGTTACTTCTGCAAGAACTGCCAGAGATATTGGACTGCTGGAGGGACAATGAGAAATGTGCCTGTGGGATCTGGTCGCCGAAAGAACAAGAGTTCTTCCATTTCAAATTATCCTCTTCAAGCAGGTCGGGTCGAAGCAGCATCTCACGGAATGCATCTTCCTGCTTTAAGGACAAATGGAACTGTCCTTACATTTGGATCAGATAAACCCCTTTGTGATTCAATGGTTTCTGCATTGAACTTAGCTGAGAATTCACATAATATGAATCGAAATGAATTCTATGGATCCGAACGAAGAATGCCTGCAGTTGGGAATGATCAATCAAATGGAACTTGTAGTACAGCCTCAAGTGTAACTGACAAAGAAAGCAGTGCTGGTACTCATGATTTAGCAAATTGGAATAATTTCCAGCCATTTCCTCCTCAAGTACCGTACTTTCAGGGCGCTCCGTGGCCTTATTCTGGCTTTCCAGTATCATTCTATCCAGCAACACCGTACTGGGGCTGCACCGTAGCAAACCCTTGGAACGTACCTTGGCTTTCTTCTGATCAATCATCAGTCCAGAACAACAGTCCTACTTCACCAACATTAGGAAAACATTCTCGGGATGAAAGCAAGATTGATCCATCACAATCACGGAGAAGAGATGCTAATTTGCAGAATAGAGAAGGCGAGAGATGTGTACTGATTCCGAAGACATTAAGGATTCATGATCCAAATGAAGCGGCTAAAAGCTCTATATGGTCAACACTAGGTATCAGGAATGAGAAGATTGATTCGGCTCGTGGTACAATGCTCTTCAGTGCCTTTAATCCAAAAGCTGATCATAGAAATCGCGAACATGACACTTCTTTTGCCCTGCAAGCTAATCCAGCAGCCTTGTCTAGATCACTTCATTTCCGCGAGAGCACACAATGATAAGACTTACAACATGGTTCATGGTTGCCTAGTACCAATCATTGATGTTAGTGCAGCTAGCACCTAATCATGGAAATAGTCTCTTGAAGAAATGCAGTAAAGCTGCGTACAATAGACCTTTACCTTTGTGGACTGGCCCTTCCTCGGACCCTGCGCATAGCGGGTTCTTGTGTCTAGGAGGAGAAGGAGACAGTATGCACAGAGTCTTCAAGTTTTATAGTTTTGCAGTACTATGTGTTACCTTGTACATTGACCTGTAGAGTTATTAATAGATAGAGATAAATAAGATGCAGCTGAAGTTTTTACTGACTTCTCATATTGATAGTTTTATTCTGAATATTTACATTATTTTTATGATACTAAATCTATCATATTAATGGGCTTTGTACTTCTTGCAAAGATTCACTTTCTTGGATAAGGAAATAAATCCTATTACACTCTCCTAATATTATGGTTACTTTCACTAATTATGTTGCTCAAATCCTCCAAAAAGGCCACCAACTTATATCGTATTTTCAAAAAATTGCATAATTTTGAAAGATCTAACACACATCCGATTTCATTTTTGAAAGATCCGAACAACATAACTTATGTTGAAAGTAAAGAACATCAAAGGTTGTTGTATCCGACAAAAGAACATCTATTTCCACAAAAAATACAGATTTTTTGTATTCAATGTTTATATCCCAAAATATGTGTTGTTTCATACAAATACTTATTGTTTAACCATAGTTAAGCGTTATGTGTTCTCACTTTAATTTGCGGCTGTTAAGATTAACTAGTTTGACATAAACACCAGATATATATTGACAAAAAAATGAAAAGATCCATTCTAAACATCACCACCACCAAGTATTTAAACTTCAACCACAAATCATGATAATTTTTAGGGTAAACATTATATTAGGCAGAGCATATAGGGTCAGCAAACAAACAGCTCATTGAGAAAAAGAGAAAATTGACTATAAATTGGACATTTTAGGAAGGAAAAATAACATAAGGACATGTCAGGTCCCCCAAATTTTGTGTAGATAAAGTAGAATTTTTTTCTTGATAGAAAAAATAAAGGTGTCAATGCATCTTTCACTTTCATGGCAAAAAGGATCTATTCTTAATTCCTTACATATGCTAAAAAGGTGGAAAATTTGAGGATAAAGTTCTCTTTTTCTTCTTACTTTTTGGTTTCTTTTTCCAAGTATATAACTTTATATTATAACCAATGAGAGATAGACATATAATATATGGTTTATCCATTAGTTGACAATAAGGTAGATATATGTCATGATTTGAATAATAAACTATACATTAAAAATATTTAATGTTGGACCGGCCAGTTGTATGTTTTCCTGACTGTTCTTTCAAGTTAAGACACCAATATTTTCATTACCCCCATTAGCTTTTTGAACCACATATTTTCTTTAAAAAATGTGTTGTTCTATGGGACCCTAGACCAAAGTGCATGTTAAGCTTTAAATTACTTTTAGTTTCTTGGATCTAATTTTAGTGTTTTTCCTTCATTTAGGACATTTGTTTGATTTTAAAGAGAACCTCATTTAATTAGAAATGCATAATATTTGTGTAAATGAGAAGAAATTTTGGTGGACACGTGAAAAGAAGATGTACAGATGCACCAGTAAGGAAATGTGAAAGATTGACTATAATAAATTGTAGGAGAGATAGAGGTAGATCGAAGTAGAAAGGGAGTGGGGGTGTTGATTAGACAACACATGACACATATTTAACTTATCGAGGACATGATGTAGATAAGAAGATGTGAAGGTCGAGGATTAGGATAAAAAGGTAATAGGTAGTTGAATATTGTTATAGTACTTTTATGTAGAGACATGGTCTAGTCTCTTCTTCTTCATAGTTAGTAATATTAGTTTGTATTCGGGAAGTGTCTTTTTTTCCAATTTTACTATTACATGTTGTTTCATTTGCTTTGCTCATCTTCCTATTGACGGTCATTACTTTACTTCCATTACTACTTTGATGATAACACTTTTTTTGAGACAAAAATCTACCGAAAACAATCTTTCTACCCCATAAAGATATATAGACATAAGATTTACTTATATCATATCCTTCCTAAACTTCACTCGTAAGATTACACTAAATTAACATTCAATGTTTATATCGAAATAAAATAATTTAACCTTTAGAGTAACAATTAAAGAGAGAATATATATATATATAAAATGTATCATTTACCCATAGCTTTTTAATAGATAAATGAATGTACGCAAGACAAATGTGATGAAAAAAATAGAATTTGAGTCCAAGCCTTTCGCAAGGCTTACTCCACTTGTGAGAATTTTGTTTTTTTGAATCTCCTCATTTTAAACTAAAGATAGGTAAAATGTATCAAAATATTTTTTAGTTTTATGATCTTAAATATTTTATGCGTAAAGTTAAAAAATAAAGAATTCCCAAAAAGAAAAGACACTCTTTTTTAAACAGACTAAAAAATTAAGAAAAGCTAATGGAAACAAACGAAGAAGGAAGTTAGAAGTAGTTGTAATAGATCCATATCAACTTCTAATAAAGAAATGGCCCAAGCCCTGCAACCTTTGAGCCCTATCAGCCCATGCTCCAAGACCTACTGAAAGAGCCCAAATTAGACTAGTTTTTGAGAGTCTCACTCACAAAATAATTATTTATATTTTAAGCAAAATACATATTTAAACATAATTTCAAAATTCAAAAATTCAAGTTTCGGGGTGATTGGACACTCACATAAGTTTAGGGGTATAATTAACAACCCCTTTTTCTTTACTCCTTTTAACCATTCAATTTCACCTTGCTTCTTGATTAATTATATTGGAAGTCTGTTCTGACTTTGATATCATGTAAAAATATGAAATTTCGGTTTAACTCAACCAAAAAAAAAAAAAATTATAAGAGGATGATTTTCCAAGTTAATAATAGAAGATGAAAGTACCTATCCTTCACCAATGTGGGAGACTCAACAAATACTTGCACTATGATAGGAAGTACCACTACTCAACAAACCTCAAAAAATAGCTTTATCGCTATATCAATATAATTTAACTATTTTATCCTGAGAGGAAATAATCTTATACATCCGATACTAGGAGAGAGTTTTTTTTTCTTTCTTCGGAAGAAAGAAACATTAGTTGGATTATCTTTATTTGAAACGTATACAATTTGTATTGTGATTATATCATTTCACTATTTTAATCTTCATATTACTAATACACATTGTTATTCTTCATTTATTTCACATAAAATAATATATACACTTTATATAACTTATTTAGGTACTTAATCATTATTTAGGCAATTTTTAAAAATCATACAAAATTAGTTAGGCAATTTTAAAAAATCATACAAAATTAGTTAGCACTTTAGTTTTTTTTTTCTCTTGGTATTGGTGCAAGTAAGGACCTTGCTTGATTTTGTTGCATGGAGGGATGGAGTGGACAACAACGTAAGAATAATGTGTTGCTTTCATGTGAAGACATTACTAGGTACGTAACGTACGTAACATGTAAAATTGCATGTAAAACTAATAAAAACTTGTCAAATATCAAACAACAATCTAAGGGTTCAAAATGTTGGTGTCTTCCGGCGGCAAAGTAGTGGTGGAATCAAAATTTTCAGTAGAACATTCAAAATATGGGAAAAAATAAACACACAAAAAGCTATAGGGGATTCAATATATACTATGATTAACAGTTTCGTCGAAGAGATAAATATATAAAGAATAATCAGATGTGGAAAATGCTTCTTGACATTGTATATCATATTATATATTATGTATATCAGATATATCACATTTAAACTTTCATGAATACCAATATAAAATTATATAAATAAATATGGTTATACACTTCTACTATATTAGTTCATCATTATAGAATATATTTAGCTCTCAATATGAGGATTTTAACCTCTGTTATTTCTTAGTTGCTTAGATTAATTTTAGAAACTTCCCTCCTTTCTTTTTATTTCCTCTTCTTCCCTTGGAAGATTTGTTACTAGTTTGAAATAATTATAACAATGAACTCTTATATTTGTACGTATAATCCCATTTATCCATTTCGGGTGCTAGCTCATAGTTCCTTCATTTTAACTGTTTCTTGTAGTAATTAGATTACAAGTGTACACGTAGCTCGCACCAGCGACGAATTTAGAATTTATAAAATATCACTCTAAGTAAACAACATAACATTCGATCAAATGCTTTATTGTAGCAAAACTACCAACAAATAGTATCATATCAATTCAACGACATATTTATACATAAAATATTTAATTTTAAAACGAAATTATGAATTCACGTACATCATATTTTAACCTATAAATTCACCTCAAGTAGCATAACACATGTCCCGTGTGTATGTAAAAAGATGAAATATGTAAGAAAGATGATTAGGTCAGTAAAAGCATGTGTGTCACAACTCATTTGAAACAGAAAGTTGAAACATGCACATTTTGCAATCTCTTTCACTCACTGCTCCACCAAATTTTATGCGTATTACAGGGAACTACCTGTATACATGCCCCCCCCCCCTCCACCCCACTACCCCCGCACCCCCTTTCACCTTTTTTCACTTTTCATTATTCATTCTGCGGTAATTTATTTGTCTTACTTTTCCGCTTAGTCCGTCTTTATCATAATGTCTTTCACTTTATCCGTTGCATTTTATGTAGAATTATTTGACTTGACACGGTGTTTAAGCAAAAAAAAAAAAATTTTAAAACTTGTGGTTTAAAACAATTCTTAAATATTTATGTAGTTGAAAATCATTTCACTAAGAATAAAATAAGTATTTTAAAGTTAAATTGTTTCTAATTATAGTAAGATGGCCTTTTAGTGGGATGGACTAAAAAGAAAAAAAAATTCACATAAAATGGAATAGAAAAAGTAGCTTTTTAAAAAAATACTTTAATTTTGACTTTTCAGACGTATTACTATGCATTCCACCTTGCATACAAGATATCAGAATCACACAAAATTTGTCAAATTTAAGGCAATAAACTTCAAAAAAAAATTATAGGTCTAAAAGTTTAAAAAATATTTAATTATTTTTAAAATTTTTTGTGTATTCAAATTGGGACAAAGAAAAACTATGTATGTATCTTACATAGTGCATAATTTATCTTAAATACCTTTATCCAAATTCTTAGCTTCGCCACTCATGATACATGTGAGTTATAGAAGCGAACCCTAAATTTGAAGACGCTGGTCTTTGAGTGTACCAATAGTACCTTAGTTCATGGGTGCACTGTTTACTATATCTTAGTTTCGGCAAGTTTTTCAAAACAGATATACATATGATATTTTTCGACGTTAGCGGGTGCACATGCACCCCCTCCTAAAGGTGTGGGTGCGGCTCAGTATGTGACATTCTTTTCCGACTAAATCTGAATTCACATACATGATATATTGTTGTATGATGAGAGGGGAGGGGGGAGGGGTGGTTGGGTGAGGAATTGTCTTGTATTGAACTGTTGGAACAGTTCCAAATAAGCACTCTCATGTTGGTGACATAAAGATTCTGCTGAGGCCAATGTATGTTTAACAGTTACCATAATTGAATGCATAAAATAGCAACTTATATAAAGTTTTTGGTGTTCAGGACCCCTGAATTTCTGCCTGTTTTTTTGGCAGGCTCATGAGAAAAGGATGTCTTCAATTTCCCCACTTTTCTTGCTTTACAACCCCCCCCCCCCCCCCCCCCTTAAAATTTAATTCAATGACCAAAAAATTATGAACTTTATTGTGGTCACACTATTTGATCTCACTACTAAAACAAATGTGAAAAAAGGCAAAGAAGTGACAACACCTTGTTGTTAACAGTTTGCAAAGTGGAGTTTTTTTTTATACTTTTTGATATTTCAGTGTCACAAATTGACACATAATAACAGAATGAGAAAACTAAAATACTTGTTACATGCTCTACTAATACTGTTACCATCTCATTGTAAAGACTCAAAAGGTGGGGGGGGGGGGGGGGGGGATTGGGACCTTTTTCAATTATTCAAATGGCTCCTACTCCAAGAAAGTCTATAAATGGTGGTGTTGGTGGTGCAATTGTGGTATTATCACTGTTGTTGTTGCTTCTTTTGTCCTCTTTTACTAGTCCTTGTTCTGTTGATGATGATGAAATTTGTGTAACACAAGGAAACTGCAAGACATACTGTGATTGATCTTGTTGCATACTATTCATCATCATTAATGAATTAGATGGATGTTGGTGGTGTTGATGAGTAATTTCACTTTGCCTATCCCAAGATCTGCCTGCTTGTTGGTTTAGAATATTCATCATCTCATTCCCACAATGACCTTCAACCAAATCAAGAAAAACCAACATTCATAACTAACCATAAAGAAACATACAAATTTGTCTATTGTGTCAACCTTATGTTGCTCTGACTCTCCAAAAATGATGTCGCACCGTGTCAAATCCTTCAAAAATACACTACTTTTCAAAAAATTAACACACCCGTCGATATTTTTGAAAAGTTCGGGCAACATGAAGTTGCAAAAAGCACTAATTCAACACGCACCCGCACGCACCCGTCGACATTTTTGAGGAGTTTGAGCAAACATAGTTTCAACTTGAAATTGCAAAAAGTTTAGATTTTTATCATGTTCTAAATCAAGATTCACTTTTTATGACTTCAAACTTCTAGAAACTTGTATTTTTTTTCAAGTTCAACCAAATATGATCCAAAAAGTGGGAGGAATTTAATGTCAAATGAAACAATTGTTTAAAGTGAAAGACAGATATATATACCTGCAGGTAATGAGTCAAAAGGGGGAGCACAAAATGGTGAGTATGGAGAATAGAGAGGCACATTATTGGTGCTACTAGGAGTTGCTGCTGCTTCTCCAGCAGAAGCAGCCATGTGGGGTGAGCCATTTGGTCCATAAACAACCCAACCATTTGGACCATCATTATTCATTTTCATACTACAAGTGGCAGCAAAGTGGTTAACAGAATTTTGGCCACTTGAATTTTCTACTTCTTCAACTACTGTAGTTGTTGATCTTCTGTAAACAAATTGTCCCATTTTTCTCCTCCTATAAGCACTTGATTGTTCTCTATATTTTCTAGCCATTATTACATGCCAATGGTTCTTCACTGCATTGTCTGTTCTCCCTGGAAATAGTCTTGCTATCATTGCCCATTTGTTACCATACAATCTATGAGCAGCCATTAATCTTTCCTCTTCCTCTTCACTAAATGCCCTTCTGTTGATTCTTGGATCTAACTGGTTAAACCATCTCAATCTACAACTTTTTCCTTCACACCAAAACAAGAAGAATAAATGAAAAGGGGGCATTATGAATCTTGAAAAAAGATACAACATCTAACATAATGAAAAGGGGGCATTATGAATCTTGAAGACTAAATGAGATTTCTCAGGATAGAGTATACACAGACGTTAGACCATCTTGGGGAGATAGAGAGACTATTTCCGATAATCAACTAGAATCTTGAAAAAGATGAGATTTTTATTTCTTACCTGACCTTCCTTCTAACTTTTCTGCAATAAGGTTCCAATTCTGAGGGCCATAAATAGCAACAAGTTCTTTAAGCTTAGCATCTTCAGCTGGTCTCCAATGACCTCTAGCACAAAGCTTTGATTGTCCATTCTCTGTTTCCTTGCCATTATTACCACCACAACCACTACTACTACTATTATTATTACTGATAAAAGTACTATGCATTGTAATTGGATTCTCTTCATTGAAACAAGAAGCATTAAGATCAATAGTCTCATTATTTTCTTCACTATTTTGGGCTTCATCAAGACTCTGAGAAGAAAAAAAAGACCCCCCTTTATTCAAGAATTGAAAATCCCAAGAACCCCTCCTCCTCCCTTTACCCTCATCAAGACTTTTTGGAGTGTTTATAGAGAGTGAATTCATATCAGCAAAAAACATTCCCATTGAAGTACCCATAGGAGAACAAGAACAAGATGATGATGTTGATGACATGAGACTTTTTGTGCTTAAAGATTTGATCTCTACAACATTCTTGAACAAAATTCAAGAAAATGAGATAAAGGAAGAAACTTGACTACTATTTCTATATCAAGAAAACAACCCCACTGAAGTAGCTAGCAACCATAGAAGAAAAGCAACAAGAACAAGAAAATGATGTTGATGATGACATGAAACTTTTGGTGCATAAAGATTTGATCTTTACAACACTCTTGAACCAAAATTCAAGAAAATGAGATGAAGGAACAATCTTTACTACTTTTTGTATATCAAGAAAACAACCCCATTGAAGTAGCTAGCACCCCATAAGAGAACAACACCAAAAACAAGAACAAAATGATGATGTTGATGATGACATGAGACTTTTGTTGCATAAAGATTTGATCTTTACAAGATTCTTGAAGAACAAAATCAAGAAAATGAGATAAAGGAACAATCTTTACTACTTCTCTATATATCAAGAAACAGATAAAAAGTGTGTGTTTTTTCTTCTCCTAACAGAAAACCTCAAAAACCTCCATTTTTTCACAACCCCTTTTTCCCCTTTGCTTCTTCTCTGACTCTTTTGAGGGATTTTGTTATTGTGTTTGTGTTTGTGTGTGCTTTTGTATGTGTGTTTTGACAAGAGAACACATAACAAACCTGATGTTAACTGACCCCAAATGGTTACCCTACTTATATAAATGTATAATATAAAGTTAAAAACTATTTTCTTGAAGAAACAAATAATGATTTATTCATTTATTTATTTATTTCATTTATATCGACAGCATTATTGCTGCAGCATGTCTGAAATAAGCAAAATTAAAACGTTTGATATGTGTATATTTTAGTCACATAGGACATTTTTCTTTATTATTATTATGTAGTTTTAACTAGGACATTATATTATAATAATAATGTATGAAAAAGGGGCTTTTAAGAATGAGTTGTCGGTCAACTTTATTAAAAATGTAGTACTAATTCTTAATCTCATTTTAAACGATTAGAAAGGACAAAAATAAGACATAACATATGTTTGATGAAATAATAAAAATATAAAATATAATGTGTTTGTTTGAGCATGCAATTTAAAAAAGAAATAACGACCTAAAATTTATGACATTATTAAAGTTATAATTTTGACTTTATAAATTCTAAATTCTAAAATAACAAATTTAAGTGTTACTCCCTTCGTCCCTTTTTAGTTGTCCACTTTAGAAATGGCACACAGATTAAGGCAACAATGATTAGCACAGTGAAGTTATAATTTTACCCTTATGACAACTTTTCACTTCAAAATTACAACCACTTATTTGAATTCAAGTGAAATAAATTGGAGGGAAACAACATACACTTTTACAATTTTCAAGAAGTGTAAATAAGGGTATAATAGGAAAAAATTTGTTGTCCTTTCTTGATTTGTCAAAATAGACAACTAAATAGGGACAACCAAAAAAGGAAATATGGACAAGTAAATAGGGACGGAGGGAGTAATAAGTTATATTCAAATTCTTAGTTTCCATACCGACTTATAATTTAAGATAAATTATATTTGTTTAGTTATAATCATCTCATTATATATATAAAAAAAATCATATAAAGTGGTATGAAAAAATAATTATATCCTCTCCATTTCAATTCCTTTGTCTCGAGTCTTTTCTTTTTAAAGGCTAATACTCCCTCCATTTTCTTAAATTTCGTTCTAAATCAAACTAGGTCATTCTTTTTTAAACAGATGAAGTAACTATTCTTTATCAATTTTATTTTTTTTCACATGACATATTTATAATCATAAGAGTAAAGAATATTTAACACATTTTTTACTTTAAAATCACAGGATTGAATTATTATTTTTTAAATTTCTATCTGTATTAAGTCAAAACAAGATAAATAATTAAAATAAATAATATACTAGTAGTAATAATTATCAAAAAAGCAAAAACATGTCACTTGCACGTGTGAGATTGAGTCAGAATTTCCTAATATTGTTTTTTTGTTATTGTAATTTTATAACAATGTTGTCATAATCATAGAGTAAGGTAGGTGTTGGGGGGTGGGTGGTGTGGTAGGGATAGAAATGGGTTTTAGGCTGTCTCACTCAATGCTGACATGAAAGACTCATATGGGGTTCATAACTGCTAACCTGGTTTCTTACACCTCTAAGACACATCAATTATCAAAATGAAGCTTTGTCACACCCACCCCACCCTCTTTCTTCACTCCAGCTAAACACCAACTCAAATTAAAAACTAGTCAAACTTCCAGCTCAATCTATATATCCAATCAATGTCCTCTAGTTGTTTTTTACTTCTATACAATGTATTATAGGTAATCGTTCATAAAGAGTGAGATTAGTATCACGCAACTTTAGTTTGATGGTAAGAATGTAATATTTGATGAGTGCATGTTACGTTGTAGGTTTGAAATATTATTGTTTAGTACTCTATTTGATAATAAGTAGAGAAGAGTAGAGGGTGAAGTCATTATCGATTGGGTTTTGGACGGTGCGATAGTGAAAGGAATTTCTCCATTATTGAAGATAGAAATATGGTATTAATAAGTTTGGGAACTTTGGTCTAGTGGTAAGGATGAAATAGGTAAGTTGATATTTAAGTGACCAGAGAAAGGTAAAGGTATACACATGACTAGTTTGAATTTTGAATCATGTGTTATTAACATTTAGAGATTTCTCAATTTTAAGAAAAAATTAAAAAGTATAATTAGTACCAAAAAACATAATAGTATTACAATAAAAAACTATTTACACCTTGAACGGTGATCAAGTTAAATTTTTTACTAAGAAGTATTACAATATAGAAAAAATTAGACATACGTAGAAAATTAAGAGAGATAACATATAGTATCTATGTAAAACTAACATAATTAAGGTGCACAGACTCTTTCACTTTTAATGTTGTATTTGTATTGAATTTCAAAAATATATTCTCTCCATCCATTTTTACTTCTTCAATATATTAAAAATAGTTGCCCAATTTTACTTGTCCAGTTTTAAAAAAATCAAGAGATAATTTTAATATTTTATGTCTATTTTATCCTTATTATTAAATACTATTATTTTTTAAAAATCTAACACGTACCAATTAATATTTTTTTTAAATCCACGTAGAAAAGAAACCCTTTAGTAATTAATTTGCTGTTTTAGTACAGTTGATAGCTTTCCCATGGACACATTTGGTAAATTTGGTAAGAGATTAGACTTATCTATATAGACTCATCAGTTAAAACCTTTTTTTTTCTTTTGGATAATCATGTTCAGAATCTTTACTTATTCTACTCTGCTTAAACTTAAAGTTGAGTTGTTTGATTGTTTACATCACTTCACCCTTAATATGAGGTCTTCGAATTTTGGGTACAAACATTTTTTTGTTGGAAGGGTCACTTTCGAATGGACTCTGAAATGTATAATTCGAATTTAGTCGGAGCTCTAATACGGACTTCAGATACTGGGTTGAAAATAAAAAAAGTATTCTAGGTCACAATTTGATACTCTTCCACTGTGCATCTTTACTTGTCTATTTTGAATTTTACACGTTTAAAAAATAATTACTAAAAATATTTTATCAGAATATTCATATTAATTGATGGACATTCTGTCACGACTCAGACCGTCGTGATTGACATCCACACTAACCGTCCGATGGGAGAACCACTACTACAACCCAAACTAAGCAACTAAACCAAAACTAAGGCAATTAAGTTACGAAAGCAAGTTAATTAACTAAACAAATGCGGAATTAAATACCTAGAACGTAAAAGTCATTGTACCAAAACTCTAACAAGATTCATAAGTCTAAACGAGAAAATCATCTAAAGAACTAATCTAAGTCTGAATATGATGGACTAGACAAAAAAGAGAATTTAAGGCAGCCCGGAAGAACTGGCTCACCCTTGAATTCGAATCAACGATCATTGATCTTCTAAACGAGGTCTGTCAATAGCCACCGAAAGATGTCATGTACTCAACAAAAATAAGAGCAAGTGCAGTATCAGTACACAATCACAGTGTACTAGTAGGATCATGCGGCTATCCCACTAAGTGTAACATACATTAGTCAATACAACAATATAATCACACGTACATATCGAACATATACAATATCAACATATACGAACAATGAACAACTTCACGATTCTCACATATCACAGTTAATATCAATCATCATTAGATTTGAACGAATTCATCACAAGTAGATACACAACACAATTCAATGGTCCTCTCACGGAACCCAACTCAATGGTCCTCTCATAGAACCCAAATTCAAACAGTTAGCATACCTGAACGTGGTATTCGATCCCATATTTATGCCGAAACGTGGCAATCGATCCCATAGTTATGCCGGAACGTGGCAACCGATTCAAATTAGTTATGCCGAAACGTGGCAGTCGATCCCATATTTATACCGAAACGTGGCAACCGATCCAGTTAATGTGTCGGATCATGACACCTGCTCATTCAACAAACCATAATCACAATGTATATTCTCCACAATCATACAACAAGAGATGATTCATGGCATACAATTATTCAATTATTCTCATTTACAACAAGTGTGATCAATAATGCAGTATTCACATACATACATGTATCATAATGAAGCAAGAACAAACATACATCACACAATCATAGAATCACAACCATCACCTACTTCGAAACAAGCTTGAAACCCTAAGAAACCTGATCCTTCCCTTTTCAGATTCGTTTCGCTTGTTCTTGGTCAACAAATAATCAATATAATGCAGGAACCAATAAACAATTATTAATTACCCGAATTACCAACAAATCTAACAAACCATAGATCAACCCATGATCCCAATTATCCAATTAAGGGATATTTCCACCATAGATTCAAGATCAAAACTCTCCCCCATCAATATTCACCCCATTATGTTATGTTCTACGGATCGAAAATTGATTCAGGGAGTGAAAAACTTACCTTTAACCTCAAGAATGGTGAAAAATAAGTAGGAATCGCCTGGGGTTCGTTCCTTAGCTCTAAAAGTCGAAAAGTGCATAATGAGGTCATTTAGGAGTTTA